TGGCACTCCAGGAAACCATTACCATTAGATCTGACTCGGCAAACAAGGTAAACTAGACATCATCGTTGGCCTATTCTATTCATCCAACTCAGCAGAGGTTACCATGGAGAGAAAGTAGGATAAGCATGTTCCTTCACTCATTCAACCAACATTTACTGAACCCAGACTGTATGCTTACTTATAACTGTAAACAAGACTATACCTTATAGAGTCTGGAGAGAAAGGCAGGCACTGTATGTGGAAGCAATGGAGGATGAGGCATGAAGAATTAGGGTCCATGGCAGACCTCTACAGCCATCTCCCACTTTCGTGCAAAGTACGAAGAGCTTCGGGATAGCTGAACACATGGAGCTTCTGGAGGGTGGCGCATGTAGGGAGGGCACGTAAGATCTGCATCCCTTCCCCGACACCTCACCCTACACATCTCTTCATCTGTATCCATTATTAATACCCTTTATTTTTGTTTGTTTGGTTTTTTGAAACAGAGTCTCGCTCTGTCACCCAGGTTGGAGTGCAATGGTGCGATCTCAGCTCACTGCAACCTCTAATTCCTGGGTTTAAGTGATTCTTCTACCTCAGCCTCCTGAATAGCTGGGATTACAGGAGTGCACCACCACTCCTGGCTAAGTTTTGTATTTTTAGTAGAGATGGGGTTTCACCATATTGGCCAGGCTGGTCTCAAATTCCTGACCTCAAGCGATCTGTCCACCTTGGGCTCCCAAAGTGCTGGGATTACGGGCATGAGCCACCACACCAGTGTTGTAACATCCTTTATGAGAAACCGGTAAACCTAAATAAATGTTTCCCTCAGTTCTGCGAGCTGCTCTAGCAAATGAATCAAACCCAGGACACTCATTTCTAGCTGCCTGGTCAGACGCACAGGTAGAGGAACCTGGGGCTTGCAATTGACATCAGGGTGGGGGGCAGTCTTTGTGAGACTGAGCCCTCAAGCTGTGGGATCTGATGCTCCTCCAGGTAGACTGAATTGGACTGGAGGACCCTCAGCTGGCGTCTGCTGCAGAACTGATTGCTTCTTGGTGGGAAGAAAACCCCACACATGTGGTTACAGAGGTCTTCTGTGTTGACTGTGGTGGTATGAGAGCAGAGGAAAAATGGTATTTTTTCCACTTACACAGACATGAAAGAATACATACTATGTAACTCCACTTATATGAAACTCTAGAACTGATCAAACTAAACTAAGAAAGGGACAAGAGAAACCTTTCTGGGGAATGAAAGTGTTCCATGTTTTGAATGGAGTGATGGTGAAATAGGTGTAACCATTTATCAAAATTTGCCAAGCTGTACACTTAAAATCTATACATTTTCCGAGGCGGGCGGATCACAAGGTCAGGAGATCGAGACCACAGTGAAATCCCGTCTCTACTAAAAATACAGAAAATTAGCCGGGTGTGGTGGCGGGCGCCTGTAGTCCCAGCTACTCAGGAAACTGAGGCAGGAGAATGGCATGAACCCGGGAGGCGGAGGTTGCAGTGGGCTGAGATCGCACCACTGCACTCCAGCCTGGGTGACAGAGGGAGACTCCATCTCAAAAAAAAAAAAAAAAATCTATACATTTTATCATAAATGTACCTCATTTAAATTAAACTTAAAATTTTCAAGTTTTTATCTGCAAAAGTAACCTAATCTAAAATTACTAACCTTTCAAAATTCTCAACAGATTGTGAGTTTTCAAAAAGGCTCAACAGATAACGCTTCTCTTAACCTGAGCAAATGACACCTTCATTCATCTGGTCGTTCTATCAGAAATCATCCCTGTCTTCAAGTTGTGAAGGTGCAAGCTCCCAATCTTCTGAAACCCACTTCCTCCCCCCACCACGGTCACTATCTTAGCTCAAGCCACTAGCAGGTCTCACCCAGTCCAATGCAATATCCTCCTAACCTGCCTTCCATTTCCACAGTCACCTGACACTGCCTGGAAACTGAAATCTGATCAAGTCATTCTCTTGCTCAGAGCCCTTCAACGCCTTCCCGACATTCTCAGAATAAATTCCAGCATCTTTAACATGACTCCCACACACACCCCTAACCTTAACTGTCCTCCCCCATGTCATCAACTGTGAATCTCATGCCACTTACCCTTCTCTCACTCCCCATACTCTAGCTACATGACCTTTTCCAAGCTTCTTGTATGTCAAGATCTTTCCGGCCTAGAGCCTTCATTAATGCTCTTCCCCTCATCTGGAAGATTCTTCCCTTCGCCCTTCAACTGACTACATTCCTCCAATCTTCACATCTCAGAGGCTCCAAAGATCCTTCTTCAGAGCACTCCGTGACCCTCCTCGCAGTCCTCAGCTCTCCCAGCAATTTAAGGGCAATGACCACCCCATTTTCTGCACAGCACTTATCCCAGTTTTCATTACATATTCTCTTGTGTGTTTGCTATGTTCTCCTAAGATTAATGGTAATAAAAGTAGTTGCATGTCTGAAGAGCATACAATATACTGGGCATTAGACTGACCATTTTACATATTATCACTTTTTATCTTTGCAATGACCCTATAAAGTAAGGTCTATACTGTCATTTGCCCCACATTCAGACAAGAAAACTGAGGCACAGAGGAAAGGGCTAGAAAATAGCAAAAATATTACTTAAACTTAGGCCGTCTGACTAACGAAACAGCACTACGCCACGTCGGCTTTCACAAAATACTAAGCTTTACTGTCAACTCCAAAAGGGCAGGATCCCTATGTGATTTGTGGCTTACTGTAAAGCACCATATCGCATTAACAGTATTTTTTTTTTTTTTTGAGATGAAGTTTAGCTCTTGTCGCCCAGGCTGGAGCGCAATGGCACGATCTCGACTCACTGCAACTTCCGCCTCCTGCGTTCAAGCAATTCTCCTGCCTCAGCCTCCTGAGTAGTTGGAATCAGAGGTGCCCACCACCAGGCCCAGCTAATTTTTGTGTTTTTAGTAGAGACGGGGTTTCACCATGTTGGTCCGGCTGGTCTTGAACTCCTGACCTCAGGTGATCCACCCACCTCGGCCTCTCAAAGTGCTGGGATTACAGGCATGAGGCACCACACCCGGCCCTGTTTCACAGTATTTAACATCAGTGCTTCCCTAAGCCAGAGGCCATGCAAACATCTGGCCAGTGAGAATCATCATAGGAGCTCTTCAATATGTTTACCCTACTGAGATTTACCAATTATTTTCTAATATTAAAAGCTATTTTACTTATAGTTTCATTTATATAAGCTTATTATTTATAAGTTCATTTACAAAGCAAATAGGTATATATATTTGAGAATAATAAAACTGGCCGGGCACAGTGGCTCACGCCTGTAATCCCAACACTTAGGGAGGCTGAAGCGAGTGGATCACCTAAGGTCAGGAGTTCAAGACAGCCCGACCAATGTGGTGAAACCCCATCTCTACTAAAAATACAAAAATTAGCTGTATATGGTGGCACACGCCTGTTGTCCCAGCTAGTTGGGAAGCTGTGGCAAGAGAATCAATGGGAGGCAGAGGTTGCAGTGAGCTGAGATTGAGCCATTCCACTCCAACCTGAGTGACAGAGCAAAACTCCATCTTAAAAAAAAAAAAAAAACAAAACCGTCCGGGCGCAGTGGCTCATGTCTGTAATCCCAGCACTTTGGGAGGCCGAGGAATGCAGATCACAAGGTCAGGAGATTGAGTAAAACCCTGTCTCTAGTAAACATACAAAAAATTAGCCAGGCGTGGTGGCGGGCATCTGTAGTCCCAGCTACTTGGGAGGCTGAGGCAGGAGAATCACTTGAACTCACTTGAGGCAGAGGTTGCAGTGAGCAATTAGCTGGGCGCGGTGGCGGGCACCTGTAGTCCCAGCTACTCCGGAGGCTGAGGCAGGAGAATGGCACAAACCCGGGAGGCGGAACTTACAGTGAGCCAAGATCACGCCACTGCACTCCAGCCTGGGCGACAGAGTGAGACTCCGTCTCAAAAGAAAAACAAAACAAAAAAAATTGTATCTGTAAATATCCTAAAGTTGAGACTTGTCTGACTTTCCTACTGTTTCCTTAGCTTCAAATTACTCAAAGTTAATGAGGTGCTACATTAACAATTTTCTGGTTATTGAGGCTCTATGAATACCAAAAACCACATTAAAAACCCAACAGGCAAAAATATGGGGTCCGCTTAGTGTTACTGAAAACACACAATTCTTACTCTATTTCTAGAGTTCCTTCATCCAACGCATGTTTATCAAGCACCTCTGCTGTATCAGGCACTGTCCCACCAGCTGCGGTGAACAAATGGACCAAGTCCCTGTTTTCATGAAACTGCATTCTAATGGAACAATTAACAACTGTCAGGTGGAAGTAAGTGTGATGCAGAAAACTGAAGGGAGGTCGGGGCATAGGGTTACTGTCAGGATATTTTAGAAAGGCTGGTGAGGGCTGAACACTCATAACGTGACTTCTGAGCAGATTCGAATGAAAAAATGAGAACTTCACTAAATCCTATGATTCTTCAATGTTTTCAAGTTTGCATCCAAAAGACTGAAACACAGTAACTTCTTCCCTTTATTCTATAAATAGGGAAACTACCTGAATGGCTTCTAGAAAGTGGAGGTGGGGCCACGGTAGGTCAATTGTGGGGAAGAAAATGTTGAGGAATGAAATGATAAAGCCTAGTAAAGCTTTCTATTTGCAACAATGGATTTTTAATCATCAAAACTGAAGGATCTCAAAGAATTTTAATGTGCACTTCCCCCACCCTGTTACCTTCAGAAGGAAAAGTTGTCATCATAACTGTTTTCTAAAGACAGAGATGAAAGGAACTGCTCAATTTCACAACTTGTAATTATTAGAGGGAAAAGTACTTAATGTTGAAAATATTAAGTAAGCATTGACAAGGAATATGAGACAAAGATCAGCACATCATTTTGGCTAGGAGAGAAAAAGAGCTAAAGGGAGAGAATGGTGCCTAAGCTAATTCATTCATTTAATGTGCTTCTTTATGATAAAGTTTAATAAATTTTTTTCTAAAATACTTTACCTTCCTGAAACCACCAGAGTTCCATCATCGAGTAAATAATCCTTCACATTCTGAGGAAGTGGAAGAATGACACTAAAAAACAAAACAAAACAAAACACAACACACCAAAAAAGGCATCATTTTAAAAGATCAACTATAAGCAGAGAGAAAAATGTCCACCCTTTATTGATTTTGGATTTGTTTATTTCAATGTAACACAAATTTATTTAATATAAAGTAGAAAATGTTAATGATGTATATTTGGTAGCACCAGACAAGGAATTAGAATAATATGATTAAATACTGTGGTTCACCTTATTGCCACAAAAACCAGCCAAATCCAAACCACCAGATGGAAATCACGGTATGAAAGCAACAAGCTCAAAAGGATTCTGAGTGAGCACAACATTTCTGTGTCTTTAAGAAATCAGAGACCAGCAGATATTTGCTGCAACACAGGAAATGCAGCAAAACAAACCAGAAGATGACTAGCGTTTGGTCACCTTCTAAAGATAGAGAGCAGAAGAGTCAAGATCTGGAAACCATTTTTGGGTTGGCAATGAGCACCCACAGCTAAGAATTCATGATACTTTTTGCTGTCATTCTATTCAGCTGATCACCAGAGATAAAAGCTGCTTAAACTGGGCATGCTTTAGCTTAATTTGTTTCAGATAATCAGAATTAAGGATGGCAAAGTCATATTTGAAGTCTCTTAAAAACTTATGGGATAATTTGTTTTTTACCTTGAAATAATAAATTGTCAAAAAGCCCTACCACAAATACCTAAGAGTGCTGGTATTATTTTGATCTTGAGGCATATACATTTTCAAAAAGTGGAAAAGCTTACAGTCTGCTTTCAGAAAGTTAACACAACATCAGTGACTTATGTCTCATTTATTTATGGAATAAGGTTTTTTTTGGCACATTACAAATGATTTTGTGCACAAAAAAAAAGAGTATTCATGGGCTACTTCGGTTTTAAAAATAAATATTTGATTTATCAAAGGTACGATTTCACATTCAAAAATCTAGTTCTGGCCGAGCGCGGTGGCTCACACCTGTAATCCCAGCACTTTGGGAGGCTGAGGCGGGAGGATCACGAGGTCAGGAAATCAAGACCATCCTGGCTAACACGGTGAAACCCCGACTCTACTAAAAATACAAAAAATTAGCCGGGGGTGGTGGCGGGCGCCTGTAGTCCCAGCTACTCGGGAAGCTGTGGCAGGAGAATGGCGTGAACTCCGGAGGTGAAGTTTGTAGTGAGCCAAGATCGCTGCCACTGCAATCTAGCCTGGGCGACAGAGCAAAACTCCGTCTCAAAAAAAAAAAAAAACCAAAAAACTAGTTCTTCCTCAGGCTTTCAATTTCATCTAACAAATCTTATTATGTTTGAAAATCTACTAAATTTTAATCAATTTCAAGTGAAATTTTGTAACTTAAAAGTCTCTTTAAAAATTTAAATTCTATTTATACACTACTCAATTTTCTTTTTTAGTATGTCTATTGGCTGATTACAAACAAGCCTTCCTAAGTATTTTACTCTTACAAAGCTAACAAACGAAATTGTTAAGTACAATGAATCCAAGGTTGTACTAGACATTCCAATACTATTTAAGAACCTGAAACTTTTCTTATACATTTTAACTGACCATTCTGAGCCTATTACACAATTTCAAGTACATATCCAATCTTTACTGAATGAAACCATTATATAATGAATCAGCAATTACTGAAATGTTGGCTCAAAAAATCAGTAAGTGCAAACCCCAGATTTTCTATAAACACCTTTAAAAAAACTGAGAGACGAAATTGTATATATTAATACTTGCCGCCTACCTGATGCTTTGAAGTATTTACACATTGTGGAATGGTAAAATGTAGCTAACTAACAAATGCATTGCCTAACAGAGTTATTTTTGTGATGAGAACACTAACATCCACTCTCCGTTTTTCACGAATACTATACGTATATCGTCATTACAGTCTCTATGCTATACAACAGATCTATGTACTTGTTCTCGTATCTAACAGTAATTACGTATCCTTTCACCTTCCCAATCTCCAACCTCTGGGGAGGTGGCGAAAAGCAATTAAGCCACCGGGTGGCCTTGGGCAGTGATCATCTTGAGCCTGGGGCCATTCTAAAAGTAGTGGTGGTGAACTCCCCAGCCTAAACTACGTTAATCCACTACTTCTCCCGCCTCCGACCCTCACTGAAACCACAACTGACCCTCCTAGCCAGCACACTCCCTGGCTTGCAACAGGACGCTGACAACTGCTTACCTACTTCCCTCTCGATACACTCCCTCCCATGCAGTCGCTAGAAGGCCTGCATTTTTTTGGATGGCAGTAAGATTCGCTCACAAGTCGCAGTTCCCTTTGGCCGATAGGCCGGGCGAACCCCCTCCTATCTCACCTCTTGATGGTAACGCCTCGGAAGAGCGGGTACCACGCGGAAAACTGGCAGTGCAGCACATGCTCCTTCTTCATTCTCCAGCTGCCGCCGCCGCTGCCTTTCCCTCTCCTGCTTGCACCCTCCCGGAACCCTGGGCTCCGGCCCCGGAAGTGCCCACCGAGCTATTTTGGTTCAAGGACTCTTCCGGTCCCTAAAGCAAGAAGGAACACCGAGAAAGGGAAGCGGAGAAGGAGAATCCCGGGGCATACGCTTGACACACACGCACACAAAAAGAGCTTTAGTCTCGAAAGAGGAATTACTGAAATGTTGAGAGAGGAATTTTAAGAAGTTTACAACTCCGTCTTTGCCCTAGACACACACTGACCCGGAAAGTAATCACCTGGAGCTAGGTCAAAGGCGGGGGTTCTACGGATGCCGGGAGGAGGGCGCGCGCCCATCCTGTTAGCACCGCGAGAGGCGCCGGTGTCTCCAATTGTGGCACCGGCATCGGCTGACACTGCTGCCTCCAGCTAGTTATTTCGTCCTCTTCCGTTCTTCACCCCTACATCGTGGAGTAAGTAACCGGGACAGGCCAGTCACAGCACAAAATCTCTTTGGGGAGGAGAAGTAGAAGGGGAGAGGGAGCACATCTGCATGGTGCGTGCAGCCGCGCGGTGTCTCCCAGGCTGCGGCTGGGCACGCGTCCAGGCGCCCAAGAGGGAAACTGGGGATTGGAGCGGAGGAGCCTGGGCTACTCCGAGTAAAGAAAGCGGGGAACACCACAGCTAAGTGTTGGTTCCATTGTAAAGGTTGCAGCATCCGCAGAGGAGTAGAATGCTTGGCAGAGGGAATACCGCCTGTACGATCCTGGGGGGTTCGACTTTGGGAGGGAAAAGGCGAGAGGTAAATTTGAGAAAGCGGAGGAAAAAGGAGACTTGTCTCCTTGGAGCGTTATATTCGTTTAGTCTGGCCTCGCAAAAGTTATCAAGCTGGAAAAAACGCAGATTTTTATCAGTATTCCTGCAGTGATCGAATCATAAGACTGGAAGAATTCGAATCGAACTTGTACTATCCTTCTTTTTTCCTTTGCTTCACTCCTGTCACCCAGCAAAGTTCAGTTTTGTTTCGTTAAAGAGAATGAGAAGTAACCAGCTGCTTTTTATTTATTTGTTTGAGACGGAGTCGCACTCTGTGCCCAGGCTGGAGTGTAGTGGCGCAATCTCGGCTCACTGCAGCCTCCGCCTCCCGGGGTCAAGTGATTCTCCTGCCTTAGCCTCTCGAGTAGCTGAGAGCGCGCGCGCCTCCACGCCGGCTGATTTTTGTATTTTTAGTAGAGACGGGGCTTCGCCGTATTTGCCAGGCTGGTCTCGAACTCCTGACCTTAGGTGATCTGCCCGCCTTAGCCTCCCAAAGTGCTGGGCTTACAGGCGTGAGCCACCGCGCCCGGCATACCAGCCGGCCGCTTTTAACCCCTAGTCGTGTCGCTTACCCTACGAGCATTAGGCTTGCGCGAGGCATCTATGTCTAAAGATATCTCCTTAAATGTACATTTTTCCTGGTCCACCTAAGTAGTTTTATATTAGAAACAGCCCCACAGACTGCAGGCCTCTTCAGAAGGGTATTCCTTAGAATAATAAACAGAATTATCTGCGTATTTTGAGTTAGAAACTTTTCCCCCCAGGAATATATACATTGTTTTAGGTTTTGTTTTGTTTTTCTCAAAAATGTTACTGGCTAAATGGCTAGTTGGAAGCAGTGCTTTAAAGAATAACATTTTCAAAGCAGAGGTAAATAGATTATAATATTGCAGAGTATGTTGGTGGGGGTTGGACAGTAATGGTTCATTTATGCTTTGATCTGGAATTATGCAGTCTTTTCTGTTTTGAGGGAGGGAAGCAATATTGTATATATGTCTGGAGGGTGGTGGCCGAAAGACTTAATGGCAGGCAGGAGCGGTCGCTCAAATAATTGTTTTGATTTGACTTAGAAAGTAAAAAATTGCAGCGGAAGGAGATGTCAGCATCATTGGGGGATTTATTTAGGTCAGATGTTTTCTAATGAAGATAGGAATAAATGTACGGAAGAAAACAGATCCCGGGAACTCCTTCTGCGAGGAGCAGTACTTTAACAGCCGAAGAAACATTTGAGCGTGGGCCGGTTGCGGTGCCTCATCCCTGTAATCCCAGCACTCTGGGAGGCCGAGGCGGGTGCATCACCTGAGGTTAGGAGTTTGTCCAGCCTGGCCAACATGGCGAAACCCCGTCCCTACTAAAATTACGAAAATTAGGCGGGCGTGTTGGCGCATGCCTGTAGTCCCTGCTAGTCGGTAGGCTGCAGCAGGAGAATCCCTTGAATCCGGGAGGCGGAGGTTGCGATGAGCCGAAATCGTGCCACTGCACTCCAGCCTGGCAACAGAGCAAGACTCTGTCTCGGGGAAAAAAAAAAAAAAAAGAGTGTAGAGGTTAAGGCAGTTGCAAAGCTTTAATATAGAATTGCAGTTGTGTGTAGAAAAGCAGCTAAGTTTGTAAGCTTAAATATATAGATACTACAGGGAAGGAATTTTTATAAATATACCTTTTATTCAGGCTGTATACTTTAGAAGTGTGTTCAATGACTTTTTAGTATTACAGTTGGTTTTAAGTAACTTGTTACACATTTAACTAGCATCAAATAAACTGACATTATAAATATGAGATGCTCAAATACTTTGAATGGATACAGCTAAATAAGCGTTCCGTGTATTTTAACCACTGTGATTGTCCTCACTAAGCCATGAAGTCATTGTATTCATCAAGTTTCTCCAATAAAACCTTTCAACAGTGGAAATAGTTGCTTTTCCTCCTGCATGCTGAAAAGTCAGTAATCATGTGATTATGGAGGAGGAGATTTATTGTGCAATTCCTAATGAAATAATGAAAAACCACATTTCCTTCTCTGAATCCATAGCATGACTAATCATCCTAGATTAATATTTTCACCTGTCTGCCGGTTTTCTTCACCTGGATGTCTGCCATCATCTCAAACATAGTGTGTACAGATTTGAGGCCTGCATCCCCCTTTTTTTCTTCCGATGTCCCAGTCTCCCTTCAAACCATCTTCATGGAAATTAAATGTCACCCTGCCACTGCCACCACTCTACTCCAGACCTGTTATGTCCTGCCTGGACTATTATAAGTGGTTCTTTACAGTCTCGTTACTATACATCTGTAACCAATTCACCTTCCCAAGGGTCATTACAGTCAGTTCACTGTTGCTCAACCAGAATTAAACGTGAGGATTATAAACCACCTGGTAAATGATTGCTGGAGATCACCAAGTGGCATAATTTCAGTAAATATTAATTCCTCCCTGCCCACCCCACTGCCACACCTGAAGAGAATGAAAAAAAAAAAAAAAAAAACCCCATAAGTGAATTCAATTGTGGGTACCCAAATTTTTTTTACTGCAAATGGCACAAAAGAAGGATACATCAGAATATTATCCTTTTTTTTCTTGACACAGTCTCGCTCTGTCGCCCAGGCTGAAATGCAGTGGTGCAGTCTTGGCTCACTGCAACTGCTGCCTGCTGGGTTCAGGCTTTTCTTGTGCCTCAGTCTGCTGAGTAGCTGGGACTACTGGCGTGTGCCACCTCACCCAGCTAATTTTTTGTATTTTTAGCAGAGACGGGGGCGGGGGGGTTCACTATGTTGGTCAGGCTCGAACTCCTGACCTCAAGTGATCCACCCGCCTTGGCCTCCCAAAGTGCTGGGATTACAGGCATGAGCCACCGAGCCCGGCCAGAATATTATCTTTTAAAAATATAATTTAAAAAATTTTAACTATGACCAAAATTATTAAATATAACTACAAATTATTTGACTCTTTGTTCCTTCTAAATCAAGTGACTTTTCTTTGTAATTTTTCTGCCAGAGTATAGATTGCCACTTTAGACATGCCCAATTTGATGCTTGACTTTAACAAGACAATCATAAAGTAAGTTATTACTGCAAAAAAAAATTAATCCTCTCTTAGTTTCTTTTTTGGTTTTTGTTGTTGTTGTTGTTTTGGGTTTTTTTTTTTTTTTGGAGACAGACTCTCACTCTGTCACCATGCTGGAATGCAGTGGCATGATCTCGGCTCACTGCAAACTCTGCCTCCCTGGTTTAACTGATTCTCCTGCCTCAGCTTCCCACTTAATTTCTTTCAAAGTGCCTGGTTGATTTCTGTATTCAATTATTAAACTGTTCCAACTGCCTAACGACCCTCTTTGTCAATCAGGAGTTTTGCTTATGATGTGGGCTCCTGCATCTTGTATTTGGTTGAGTATTGTTGATATTAACAATATTCATCTTTATCAGGGAGAGACTAGTCAACATATAATTTCTTGTTAGGATTTTTGCTTCACTTTGCAGCCTCAACAGATGGCAGGGATTCAGGTACAGTGATTGAATAATGAGCCTCGGTGCCAACTGCACAACCAGACTTTTCAGTTCATGGTTTAACTTCTGGAATCTAAACTCCCACTTAACTCTTTATGCAGCTGTTGTTACTAATACTGGCATACTGAAGTTGGTGAAAAATTAATCACTTCCTCCCTTTCAGTAGAGGGCTGTACTTGCTGCGTAACCCCAAAATTAGTTTATTTGGTGTTTTTTGTTTGTTTGTTTTTTACATGGGGTCTCACTATGTTTCCTAGGGTCATCTCGAATTCCTGAGCTCACGCGATCCTCCCACCTCAGCCTCTATGAGTAGCCAGGACTATAGGCACATACAATGTATGGCACTGGCCCCCAAAACTACCTCATATCACAACAGTAATTTGTGCCATGCCAGTTGGCTTTGTGTGCTTTGTTGGCCTGCAGTTTTGGGGGGCAGAGATCCAATCAAATCTGTGTATGGCCTTAGAAATGTGTTCGCAAAGCATCATCGTTATATGTGGAGTTGTTTTGGGAATTTTTTGGTGGTGGTGGTTTTTCCTTTGTTGTTGTTTTTGTTTTTGTTTTGAGACGAAGTCTCGCCCAGGCTGGAGTGGTGCAGTGGTGGATCTTGGCTCACTGCAAACTCCACCTCCCGGGTTCAAGCCATTCTCCTGCCTGAGCCTGCTGAGTAGCTGGGACCACGAGCGCCCGCCACCGCGCCCAGCTAATTTTTGTATTTTTAGTAGAGGTGGGGTTTCACCGTGTTAGCCAGATGGTCTCCATCTCCTGACCACGTGATCCGCCTGCCTCGGCCTCCCAAAGTGCTGGGATTACAGGCGTGAGCCTCTGCACCCAGCTTTTCCTTTGTTTTTTAAAGGAGGAGGTGGAGGAGGAGCTTGAGAACCACAGGGCTTGCCATACACTCAACATTTCTCACCCTTTCCCCCGTGTCTCTGCCTTTGTTCACGTGGTGTCTTCTAG